CTGCAACTACGTTCCAATATCTCAGTAACTAACAACAGAACACTGCGTTACAATATTATCAGTAAAACAGAACAAAAATTACCAGTTCAGTCTACCCATTTCGATAAATAACCCCCCCCCCTCGAAACTGTCACGCCACCACCACCAAAAGCCTGTCTTACTTCCATGTATTCTTCTCTATTGCTTTCACGCGTTTCGCGTTTCTCTACATACTAATACACGCCCGTCATTATGATACAACGTGAATCTGCATTCATCCACAAACAAACATCCCTATCATTCAGCTTCTCCCCAGTGTCTATTGTTTATGAATATTAGCCCAGTTTATTCGTGCTCTTCGATGGACTGCTTTTAATAACGGACATGCTGCCTGGCTCTTAAATTTCTCTGGTAAAAGAATTCTGTTGTCATCCCGGGCCGAAGTAATTCTTGGTTCACCACCTGCAATGTCTATAAGCAGCGGTGCCAGTGTTAAACCCCATTTTATTGGCCATAAAATTGCGCGACTTTGCCCTAATTTAACCGACCTCGTATCTTTAATAATAACCAAGATACCACCCCTGGTTAGAAAAATAGACACACTGTATATTTTTGTATGACCCTGTATCATATGTTTTAAAGTGTGTTTCCACATGCGCCTTAATTATAGTGTTTGTTTCGAAAGAAATAATGACGTCAATAGCTGTATTATACATAAAATCGCATAGCTCTAGATAAAATCGTAGTGGGCGGCGATATTCAAAAAATCTCAAATACGTCCCGAGGTACCAAGGTACTTTTCTAAACTGCATACCAAAAATCTTCTTAACCCTTCCTCCAGCAGAATGGGGTGGACCCAAACTTTCGCAAAAAAATCGCCAACCTATGTTTTACCCTGTATCTTTTAGCAGATGGCCGGAAATCTGTTAAAAACCGGAAATTAAATAGCAATTAGAGCATCCTTTCACTCCTGAAAATTTGAATAAAATCGGCCTGCTAGATTTTGAGTTATAGGCTTCCAAAAAGTGATCAAAAGTTGGGGTGTTCGAGTTCGATTGACGCGTAGTTTATTTGGTCTTTTTAGATTTTTTAGCAGTAATTTTACAGTGTCTCTACTCTGCAGTATATGTTGCAGAAAACTCACAAGTGGCAATGTGAAACATCCATTTCACCAATAACTGTTATTCATCGCTTGTTAAAGCTGTATCAAGACCACTTTTCCTTTCAATGGGCCACTTTCACGTGCCGGGAATATGGCAAATTATAATATTTTTTGACGCAGATACATCAATGCAACCAAGAATGAACAATATTTTGCAAGATTTTAGTCAGATTATTAAATAAATTAATAAATAAAAACTAAAAATTTAAACGAAAAATCACGTGATTGAAAACGCTCTGTGTTTGGCTAAGGCCGATTTTGACATTTTTGTTGCCACATGTAGAAATGCGAAATTTAAATGAGTTAATAAGGATTATACCTATCCTTTATTTTTTTATAATGTAGTAAAGGACGAAAATAGTTTCTAGCTAGTGAAATATGTAATGATTTACTAATGAGAGATTTGGCATCCTTGATTTTCTGGTGTGTGACGTCACACACCAAGTTTATTTTTTCACGCCAGTTTAAAAATTCGATTTTTAAATAATTTTTTTTTCAAAAATGAGCGTTTTTTTTTCGGAAAAAAAGTATACAGATAGTATTAAAATGACTAAAAGTATAATTTAAAAATGTTTTTGAAAAATGTGAAAGTGGCCCATTGGCGCTTTTTTTTGCACTCCTCCTATTGTGGTTGTTCTTAGTACTTTGAAAACTTCATAAGCTTGAGCAGTAGGCATTCTATTTTCAACAGCATTGATCGCTTGTTCCATGGCTTCTACCGAATATTAGAATCGTTTGCTTTTGTTCGTGTTTAGTCTAATTCTTCTGGAAAAACTGAGAGCCATTTATCGACATACTTGGTACCAAACATTGACACACATAATACACCCACTCTAACGTTGTTACCAAAGGGGAAAAATGGGTGTCGATAATAGGGAATTTTCATATTTCTCAAATTATTTTTTTTTAGATACTTCTAGTGATCAGTTATAACAACAAGTTTTCTTTTTTCCATTTTAATTTATACGTTGTACGAAAATAGTTACTTTTGTCACAAGTACCTGAAATGAAGTTTTTCAGGACGAATCATTGCTGTTTCCGGACGAGGCGTTAGCCGAGTCCGGAATAGCAGATGAGTTCTGAAAAACTTCTTTAGGACGTGTGACAAACACTATTGTTTGTCATACGCTTTTTATAATTCTTCAGAACACTAAAATTTGCAAAATTTCCTTAATTTTTGAAATCATAAAGGTGCATCCAGAGAGAAAAAAAAATCCTAAGAAGAGGCATTTTACGGACCTGAATGAGTCCGTAAAATAGCTGTGTTTGGGAGCGTATGACAAAAAAAAAATTATTGAAATTCAAATCAAAAACTTTGGCACGAAAACACGAAATCTCAATATGACAGCGCTTGTGACGTTGCGATTTTGTAAACGACAAATACGCAGCAAACGAACTCCTGCTGACGCAGTGCTATTTTTGTGTTATTCAAGTGTGTTATAAGGTTTGCTTTTTGTGAAAATTGTCGCAATGGATGAAGAATATTGCAAAGGACTGCTTTTGTAGTTTTTTTTCACTTGCAAGTTCCCTATTGACAGGTTTGTTTACAGAATCGTTACGTCAAAAAAGGTAGCCATCATGGAAGCATTGTTTTGGCGGGAAATTTTTTATTTCAAATTTGGTATTACTTTTTGTGTAATAAGGGCGGTATCAGTTAAATAAAAACTGGTCATATAAATATTGTGCAGTATAATCTATCGATTTAAAACAAATTTGGAAAATTTGAGTTCACTTGCAAGTTCCCTATTGGTAAGGCGTTAAATATAATTTCCTTCACATTTTTCAGGCAGAATAAGATTAAGTTCAGTAAATATTTAAATATTTAGAGGAAAAGAGAAGGCTGCAGTGTACTATCTATCGTCACCTATGTCGATAAATGGTAGAAAGTTTAAAAATGGATGTACCAATTATCGACAGCTCAGAATTTTGAATATATGCAGATTTTATGCCATATTATTGGCAAAAATCATAAATTCTATACTCTGCATAGATATATACAACAATTTCCATGAGGTTAGTTAAATATTTCAAACTAAACCTTAACGTTAAGGGAACCTTAGGTAAGTCTTGCTTTTAAGGTAACATTCAAATACCCGCCCTTATGGCCGTTTGCACCGACCATTTTAAGGAAGTCTTAGCGATAAGTATTCCTTAAAGTGACATTTCTCCATGCAAACGACCATTAGTCTCACATATTTATATTTCCATAACACGGACAAGAGACAGAGCAATCGTTCTCGTGAGAACGTTCTTCCCCGGCTTCGGGAATAGACACCCTGAAGGTTGATTCTTGAAACACGAGAGCAGCGTTCTCATGAAAACAAGTTTCCTGTTTTTGTCAATTATATCAGATTTTGCATGAAACTGAGAAGGACACAGGACTTATTCTCATAGAAATTCTGCTGCTTCGTTTCGAGAATCAGGCGCCAGGGATGATGCATACGGAGCCCCATTGGGCGTGAGTGTCGTGATCCCTCGATGTCGCCCTCCACCACATCCATAATCCAGAATATTCAAAGAATGGATCCTAGCGCACCTGGTAGGGATGCAGGCAAGAAAATACCTACTCCATTAGGTAGGTAATGATACAACAATGAGTAACCCAAAGAATATTGAGAATCACAGGTGGAGACAAAAGTAGAAATCACTGGATAAGCTACAGAAAGGATATAATATATAACACGCATTTAGCCAAAATTGGTACCAGGTTGCTCAAAATGGTATGGAATGGACATCCATGATAAAGGCTTATATTCACAGAGTATGAAACGGCTATGGAAAATGCGAGGGATAACACGGAAAACCTAAATTTTGGTGTTTCTCCAATTCACAATTCGTACAAATAATAGTTACTTATGTCATAAGGCCAAGAGTGAGCTCAAAGTTTGAAGAGTTTGAAGGCCGACGCGTAGCAGAGCCCTACTATTGAGCGAAGCGCACAGAAATTGCCAGTTGCTGTTATATTTCTGGAAAAATACATTACCTTTTGTATTATCCTTAAGCCCGTATTTCAACTGTGTATTTTTCCGTGAATTTCTTCAAGTAGTTTAGGGTGACAACTGAAAAACTTCAAACGCAACATAAATCAGCATTATGAAAAACAATAGTACCTATATTGTGTATTTAGGTTGAAAAGTGTATTTTTCTCGACCGAAGGCGTAAGTTGGCAAACACCGAAGGCCGATAATGCGCTATTGACTATTGAAACAAAAATAAACTATTGAAACATAATTAAACTACCAGAATATTGCGTTTTGCGACCTGTCAACCGGTTTGCTGACATTTTTTGTCAATCGCAGAAAAAATAATGGCCGAGTTCGTTTTTGTCATCTTTTTCGTCGATTTGCTCGGAAATTTTGACAGACACGTGACTGGATCAGACAGTTTCAATTTACAAATCACGTGCCAGTCAAAATTTCGGAGCAAATCGACGAAAAAGATGACAAAAACGAACTCGGCCAAATGTTGGCACCCTGAACTACCTGAAGAAATACAGGGAAAAATGCCCAGATGAAAACAGGCATTACAATGTTTGAGTTTCTTAATTTGTGTGATAACACTGATAATGTTACATGACAGCTGGTGGCATGATCTTGTTAGGACCAAGAATCTTCGATATTCCTCTTGTGCTCAAAAAAATATATTTTCAGCAATCATCTCGCGGTTTTGGCATGAAAGCAATTATCATAAGTTATTTTTTGAGTTTATTATATAGTTTTGGTTACTAAAAAATTTCCAAAATAATAGATGATCATAAACCTTATTCCCATAGCATGAAAAATATAAAAATATTGGTATAAGAGTAAGAAAAAAAATTCAGATCAAGCTCTATTCTAATTTCAACTCTTTGTCAATTTAGGAGCTAGCACTGCACGAAGACGAAGGTCACAATTGGTGGTCGATAATCTTCTCACTTTTGGTGATTGGCCTAGTGATATCTGGTATTGTTGCTGCTATATTTTTAGTAGGATACGTTGACGAGCTCCTTTACTGGCAAGGTGAAAGGATGAAGCTTGAAGAGTATTTACAGGTAATAGTTCCATTTATTATTTATTTCAAAAGTTGTGTGTTCAAATTGGGATGTTAATAATGATAATATTTTTTTTTTTTCTTAGGGTGAATTAACTCCAAGACGCCTACCTTCGTCATGGATATCTTCCAGTCATTTCGTTTTTCAAGCCGACGATGGTAGCCTGTCTATTTTAGATACAAATAAAAATTTTACCGTTTCGATTTTAGTCACTAATCATACTTTGGTAAGTTTAATGCCATCAGGTTTAAGTTTTTCTTTAATTTTGAGATTAGAACTTTTATTATTGTGCAAGTTGAACAAATGTGTGACCTAGTTTTTTTTTCTTCAGACCGTTTCATTTTATACATCAAATTGGAAATTTTTATCACAGAAGCAGTCGCAAATACAGTTTATTACTCGATCGGGAACTTAAAATTTAGAAAATAAAAGAAAATTGTTGCTCTTTGTTCGCGAGTGAAATAATTTCTTAGTCGTTGGGTCGATTCAAGAAGAAACTCGTTCAGGTGGAAATCGTCTAGTTTCATTCACAATAATAAAAATTGTCTAACCGTTGCATACTTTCTATTTTCGCTGGGTATTTTGCAAGCCATCATAAGGTCTCAAATTTCGTTAAGAGGAAATCAGTTGTCGGAAAATAAACCATAAATTAGTGATGTATTATTGATCATTGTCGACGTGAAGTTATTCGTCTTTTGTGGTAATGCGTAATAAATAAGCATTTTTTTTAAATGTTTAAATGTTAAATTAAAAATATCTTTTCCAAAAACACACTTTTACTGGAACTTCAAATAATATTTATTTTTTTCAAGGCGTCCGGCGAATTCTGATACAAAGATTCTAGGAATTGCACAAACGGTGTTGCACAACTGTGGAACTAAAACACGTGAAGAGATCCTTAAGTGACAAAGTATAATACAATTTCCAATTCAAGTAAAAAAAAATAGGTGTTTAGTTTAAAAGTCAACTAGATCATCTCTCATTTTATTGGTTGATCTGGATTAATGCTTTCCTGTTTTGGTAGCAGCTTTCCAAAACGGCTCTTCTCTTAAAGCCGTGAAGAAGACTTTGGAGGTGGTGGAGGCACGTCTCCATCGGCAAGGCTAAGTCTGAGAGGTTTCCTTTGTCAATACCTACTTAAAACCGATTTAAATGTTTACAAGATCTAAGATTAGCGCGATGGTGGAAATGGTGAACTATATGCTGTGTTTAGATATAAATGGTTATTGGATCAGTTTATCCAATTCATCGCACTGATTCAACCTATGTTGTGCTACATTGAGGTCATTATTATTGATTTTAGTGAGTTATAATGGCTTCAACTCTGGCACTTTGGAAGGTGTTCTGCAATAGTCATAAGAATAACCTACAATAACGCGACGTCTATTATCATTTTATATTGAATTTGATTTGAAATAAACCAATTTATTATTATTATTATTATTATCAAGACGAGTCTGGAAAAAATGGCTTTAGTCTCACAGTTGAATTTAAAAAATTGATTTGTTTTAAGGTTCTCAACTTCTCCTGAAGTTCCATAAATTTGAACTATCTCGCCCTAATTTGTGGGCGCAATTTGATACCTTTTGATCCACAGGGCCGCAAAATGCCCTTAGGGTGTAGGCTGGTGCATTTTGCCGCGAATCCTTTTGCAGCATTGGATAACGGCCGGCGGTGGAAATAATGCCCTGTCCGTACACATGAACCGTGACAGTATAAATTAATATCTTAGAGAAAACTGTCCGTACACATGGACCGTGACAGTTTATAAAACCTTACACTCTGTCCGTACAAATGAACCGTGACAGTAAAACATGAACCAATATGAAAAGAAACTGTCCGTTCACGTAAACCGTGACAGCTATAGAACTTTAAACTCTGTACGTACAAATGAACCGTGACAGTAAAAATAAATATCTTAGAGAAAACTGTCCGTACACATAAACCGTGACAGTTTATAGAACCTTAAACTCTGTCCGTACAAGTGAACCGTGATAGTGAAAAAATATATATATAATTTATTACCAACCAAGTATAAATACAAATAACTTACTCGCGTTGCGGTGAAACAGGTACCAGTCGATATTTCCGAGAGAAGGCCTACCTCGGAATTCGGTGGAAGTCGGAAGCGTCTATTTAGTTGTTGAACTTGGTCAGACTGACTTAACCCAGCGCCGTTCGTTTGTGAGGAAAACGCTCGAGGATGGAAGGGCAATCTAGTGGGAGAAAATACCATGGTACGCGCTTCGACTACTATGGGTCCAAAGCCGGCGGTGAAGCCTCGAGCGTGTGACCATACAAAGTGCTAGTTGCAGCAAGGTCACGCGGAAAATATTGATATATTTGGAAATGAATTCGGAGATATTCAAGAAAGCTTCTTCTTAAAATCAAAGAAAAGTTGTGTGACTTTAGTTACACAAATATTAAAAAATACTATAATCAAGTTAAATCACTACCGCGGGGTTGACCGAAAATTACTTAGCGCAAATAGTTGAATTAAAGTAATTAAACTGAAGTCAGAGGCTCACACATTTTCGGAAAAAAATCTAGTAACTCCGTTACAATACATTGTCCTCAGAGATATTGTTCTGGAAACTTATAATAACATTTCCAAGCTCACTAAAAGTTATAAAAGGAGTAGCTATTGTTCGCTATTGTGAACTTAAGGCTAATACACAACAGTGTCGAACATTGAACAAATACTATAATTGAACCGAATCCAAGCGGCAGTAATGATAATAAATAACCTATATTGTAAACAAACATCAGCTGGTGATCTAGCCTTCCTATTGGTTGAAACGCCCTACCAGGACCAGTGTGCAAGCACGGAGGATAGTTGTTAGGCTGTAATGAAAATGACCAGTTATGGCATTACTTCCAATTAGATTTTTTCCAAATGTAGTATACAAACAGACCAAAATGAGTGAATAATCACTGTTTATTATTGGCCTTTGAAAAGGCTAGCGTCCTTTATTTATTCATATTTTTTTTTTTCAAGTACTTTTAAATGAAACCTAATTACGCAAATGGTGCTCAATGCCATTCGCGTGGATAAAGCCCTCGGCTGCGTCTCGTGCTTCAATTCCCACTCGCACGCGGCGCAAACACCCTGCGCCCTCGGTACATAAATTACTATTGGACCTTGTCTTTTATTTGAGTGTTTTTGACGTCCCTACACTTTGTCACTTCCTGTTCTGAGGCTGCCCTGTCGTGCCTCACTGGATATTTCCACAGTTGGATATTAGTTTTGGATCAGACAATTTCCTAATAATATTGTTGAGGTCTTGTATATTATCTGTTTTCAAGTAAAGTCTCAAATATCAGTTAATAAGGGGTAAATCTTTGTTTTATTTTTCGTTTAATTAGAATGCGTATGACTGGCAAAACGATTAAAGTGAGTGTGACTCAAAAATAAAAGCTTTAGAAAAAAATAATCTAAGAAAAAATTTTCAAACCGCACTAGGCTACGACCATCCGTTGCGAAGATACCGTGGTATGAAGTTCCCACTCCCAGCACTGTGACGTCATAAGCACAAATTGAGACGGCCGGCTGGCGCTGAGCGCGCGTTTGCTCATGCTTGCTGCATATATTATCGACATTATCGTATTGTTTTTGCGTTCTCACCCCTATCGCTGCGTCAGTTTCAAAAGGTTTTGTAATTTTTGCGTGTGTTTAGCACGTCACGAGATGAATGGGCAAAATTTTATTCAGGCGTATCTACCTTATTATTTTGAGTAGCGGGGCGAGATTTTCAGTTCTTAGAAATGTTTTCTCCATTTTCTTAGGACAAGTTGGTTACACCCCCTTCAATGAGTGTTCATCTGGATGTTCAATTATCTTATATCAAATCTCAGATAAACTTGCATGAAATTTTTCCAGCGATTCGTTGAATTATGAGTGGCTTAAGCTCAGAAACGTCGGTTTCTGGTCAAAAGTCGAGTAGCGCATTGTTATTTGTTGAATTCATCTTCATAATAGTTTATTCTCCAAGGCGTAACCAAAGTCGAAAAAAATCGATTTTTTTCGATTTAATGAGTCTTGGCAAAACAAATTATAGAAATGGGCTGCGTAAAATGGCTTGTAAATCAAAAATGCCGCCGGTTTCCACTGAACGAAATTTTACACGAGACCACTAACTTCGAATATACAGGGTTTTCCGAAACTATTGTGCCCAAAATTAAGGGATGATAGATCTCGCTAAAATAAACGTTTTTCACTTACAAACCCATAGGCGCATGCGCATTGGTTTGATAGCACATAACAGTCTGCGCTGTGGTAGCCACCTTGCACATGGAGAGACGTGTTTGGAGTAGAACCTGATGCGTTATTAAATAATACAAAACCCAAGGAATGCTTGCGGTATTTATTAAAAACAATGATTCACATCAAAATTGCATGCGTGACAGCGCCGTAGCAGAAACATCGAGTAGATTTCTGCAGGAATCCCTTTCCGAACTGTTAGAAACTGTTTCCATATATGCCAGACAGAACATGTGGTACCAACACGACGGAGCTCCACCACATTACTCGTTAGCCGTGAGGGAACATCTCAACGAAACATAATCTGGACAGTGATTGGTGAAGGCGCATGGTCTCAACGGGCTTCACGTTCACCAGGCCTGACCGAATGCGACTTCTTTTTATGGGGTCACATGAAAGCTCTTGTGTTCGACTCTCCAGTTGAAACAGATAAACAGTTAGTGGGAAGGATTATTGCAGAAGCTGTTGAAATTCGCGAATTCAGGAATTTTTCAACGTGTTCAGGAGGCTATGCTACGGCGCTGTCACTCATGCATTGAGGGGGGTGGTCGTACTTTTCAGCATCTTCTAATGTAAATCATTGTTTTTAATAAATACTGCATGCATTTCTTGGATTTTGTATTATTTATTAACACAGCTTCTGCTTCAAACACGTTTCTTCTTGTGCACACAGGGCGGACTGTAATGTGATATGATCAGCTAACCAAAGCGCACGCGCCTTTGGAATTATAGGTAAAAAATGTTTATTATTGCGAGATCTATCATACCCTAATTTTTGGCACCACAGTTTCGGACCCCCTGTATATACAGGGGCAATATTAGTTATAGTCGAAGGTTATATATAGTCATGTTGAATTTGCACAACAATTTACTTACGAATGCAATAGGTAATTCGTTTTTGTTTTTTATCATCGCATCATAAGCTTTTATTCCATATCCATTGGTGGTAAATTAACGTATCTTCATTTTTTTTCAGAGACAATTAAATGTAAGGGGATACCAGTGTTCAAGAAACCTAAAATATGTACTATTTCAACACAACGTTAAAACGGTAAGTGCTTATAGAATAATCTTTAATTCCTTTTTTGCATCCTCAATAAGTGAATTGAATCTTGCGATAAATGCTACTTGCTTTAGACCTACAGTAGAAAAAAAGTCAAGTGGTATGGTGAAAACTATATTAACTTTTTTTAATTAAACCAAAGATACAATATGAGCCATGAGAATGTGTCACACTCTTCCATGCCAGAAACTAGTGATGGGAAAATATCGGATTCAAAAACTATCGATAGTTTGATAGTAGTGGTTGATTAACTATCGATATATCGATAGTACTATCGGTTTAAAAATATTTTTAGATTTAAGTTTGAATCTTTTAACTGTTAAAATATAACCAGCCTTCGAGAATAACCTTTCCGAAATGGAAACGTTCCCCCACGTCGGCCATCTGTCACTCCGTAACTCCTGTCAGAATTCAGCATCAGATATCGACCAATATCTACCTGTCACCACTCCTAGTCAGTAAGCGCTTTTTTTATTCACCGATAGCTCCATCGATGACCTGTCTATCTTTGTCTAATTCATAGAAAATCGGAATGGCTGTCTCATAATGCTTTCAGCAGATGGATCCATCGATGAATAAAAGAATTCGCCCAGTGTTACCAATTTGATAATATAAAATTCGATAGTCTAGGGAAAATTATCGATAGTTCGATATTTTTAATTCCGCAATGAACTATCGATATATCGATAGTTTCATTCGATAGTTTCCCACCTCTACCAGAAACTATTTTCGGAAATTTGAATATCATATATTAATATCAATAAATTATCAGAACTCTAGATCTTGAATCACATTTAAAAGAACTTGAAAGCAAAATACAAGCTACTAGCATGCTGCGTGTTGCGCCCATCTAGTAGACGATGAGTTTTACTGGTTCAAATTTCCTACAATCTGATTTTAATCTACACTTCAAACGAAATATCTAGCCAAAAAGATAACATAAATTCCATAATACTGAACAGAATACCCATAAAACGTGAAAAGGTCGCCGCAGCTTTATATTATGCAAACCGCTGTTGTGCACATATATTTGAGGCAAAATTGCACGATAATTCTCAATTTAAACTTTTTATTGCGCTATAAATTGTCCGCTTGATAAAAGCAACCAAAAACATTTCACATACTACTACCTACCGCTAGTAAAGTTTCCATGAAACTTCCGCCACACAATATTGGACTCTTTACAACTATTAATTCCATTAAACTGAAGTTGCGTAAAAAAGCACGAAAATGTGATGACTTTCGCCTACTTCACTCTTTTGTTGGCACATTGATCTAATGGGACTGGCACAATAGCTGCCTCAAATAACCAAGATGTTGCTGCAACATGGCCATGTTGATTTTGTGGGACAAACCGATCTTCTGATGCCGTTGACGCATGATGTTTATTTATGAGCAACTATACATCTCATTATCATAGGCGATCACTCCATACCGAGTATGATTATTTCCTATTCTATTTATATTGTCGTCGATTGTACGTTTTCTGATGGCTGAATAAACCAATTTTGGAGCCGCACACTCTTTCACAGTCTTGGCACACTGTCTCATCCTCTGTTCTCTTGCTCCTCACTGCGGTCCCTCTTTTCGGTGTCGTGTCTGCGTCGCCGTTCTTTAAAAGTTTGTGGCCCGTCTACCATATTCTCCCAAGAGGCTTTTCATTTGTCTTCTGTAAACAACTAACGTTTCGCAACCCTATTTCAATGTTGGTATCAGAACTGCATTGTAGACGCCAAGTTTGGTCTCAGTGCTGCTTGTTGAAGACTCTCTATAGAAGTCGCCCGAACGCTGGGATAGCATAATTCAAGCGATATTGGAATTCAGCGTTAATGGTTGCATTCATGATAGATGGCATTCAAGGTATGGGTAGTGTTCTACGTTCTATAAAGAATGAACAGTTGTAAGTTATATTTGGGGCTTGAGGATTAGTGCCTGGTGCGGTTGGTACAGAATCTGCGTCTTGTTAAAGTTGACCTTTATGCAGATTCTCCTGTATGTCTGGTTGAATGCATTGATAATTGCCTGAAGATCTTCCTCTGTAGCCATCACGACGTAACCATCCGCATATTCAAGTTCAATTATGTCATCGATACTTTCGTCTTGGCTCGTAGTCTGTTTATGTTTAAGTTGAAAAAACTTCCTTGTCCATCGGTATTCAGGACGGTTAAATTTATATTATCATGCAGCAGGCGGAGTATCTTTATGTACTTTTGCGGACAACCAGCCTTTGCCAATATCTTTTAAAGAGCTTTTCTGTTGACCGAATCAAATGCTCTCATCAAATCAATGTATAGAAGCCGATTTGGTTCTCTGGGTTTCTCTAACATTTGTCTTGCACTGAAAATCATGTCAGCTGTACCTCGGTTGGCTCTAAAGCCACTGTGTTTATAGGAGGTTCTCTCCGGCATCGGCAGTTGGGATTAGACGATTCGAAAATATCCTTGAAAGATACTTTCCTGCAACAGAAAGAAAAAATATTATATGGAGATATCTCTAAGATCGGTAAGTATGTTCTCGGTAATCCATACTTTACTTATTAGGAACTCAGTTTGGGTACTTTGTGTGGGGCCACCTTGTTCAACAGGGATGCCGTCAATACCAGCGGACCTATTGTTCTTTAGTTGTCTGATTGCCTTTTCAACCTCCTCTAATATGGGGATCTCGCTCAGCTCTTGTTGTATTGGTTTCTGTGTTTCTTCCAACAAAAATTAATGGATGAAATGTCTTTAAGCAGTTTTGTGCCATCTTTGCATCATAAGGGATTGAGTCCTTGAGTGATTGGTCCGTATACCATCTTAGTCCTGGAAGAAGGTTCTGGTGCTGTTGGATTCAGCTATTTAGTTGCTGCATTTTGCTTGATTTTGTTATCCAGCATTGGTTCTTCAATGCTTCCGTTTGCCTTTGATCTTCTGCTTTTGCTTGTTGGTATTGCCTTTTTTACAGTTGAGCTGAGGTCGCTTCTCCATGCATTATGCCTTTTTTTCTGTCCATATGGTCTTGAATTACAGTATCGTTTTCATCAAACCAGTCTTGATGCTTCTTTTGTATGTAGGCAAACGTTTCTTCTGAGGCGGATGTAATTGCGGTCTTCAATATTTTCCAGTGCTCCTCTATGCTTTCCGGGTACTCTAATGGAAGTTTCTGGCTTATACAGGCTCGCTCAGAAATTTATCCTGTGATTGTCTTGAAAGCGTTCTATGCTGAATTTGCGTTTGAAGTGCTTTTTTTCACATCTCGCTTTGGTGGAGTGCGCAAGTTTATTCTGGCTCGTATTAGCCGATGGTCAGTTCAGCAGTATCCGCACTTGTTAAAGCTCTCGTAATGCCATATATATATATATCTATAGAATGTACACAATAATTAGATTATCGATTAGATGCCAGTGCTTTCACCTAGAGTGTTGAATTGTAACCCCTTTTGTTGTTGAATCAACAAGAGGCCCATAATATGCTCGGTTTGCTCATCGAATAATTATTGTAGGTAGGTCAATAGTTTAAAAAGTACAGAACGGGGGCGCCACTGAATTTGAAAAAAGATTAGGAATAAGGCCCGGCGCAAAATGAGACGTAGCTTGGTGACGCGATGCAGCGTGAGTCACGACGAGTTTCTGAGGGAGAAAACTGCTAGCGCAGGTAACCGCGCAAATACAATGGCAGTTTTCACTTCGCAAGCCGACCCATGGTGCAGAAAAGATGGCAGCTGTCGCTTCTCAGTTTTTAGTATTGTTCGCACATATTCTCTATGGCTTGTATCGTACAAAACTTGTCGAATCCTCACGGCTTCAATTATTTTTCTTTCATTTTCAAAAATTTCAAAACACGCACCGTGACTCTGCGAAGTAATATGCGCATTACCTATTCTTACTTAGGTTCACAAAAACTCACCGTGACTCACGCTGTCTCACGTCACCAAGCTGCGTCCCATTTTGTGCCGGGCCTTAAATTACATTAAACCGTAACTGGTGAGGTGATTTTTATGTTACATAACCGGTGAGGTGGGGTTTGCTGAAATTCAATTTTACTGTGGGACTGCACAAAACACACATCAAAACTTATTTCTAAATGCTAGAAATAATCAAACTGGAAATGTAGCATAAAAAATACAAAATGGCGGAAAAGTATCCAAAAATCTTTGAAAAACATTCGAGGAGGAACAAAGTTGTGAAGAGCAATTAACCCAAACTAACCCAAACGACTCACAGTGAGGTGGGGTTACGCAAACCCCAATTTGTACAAAAATCGTATTATCGCACACCAAGTAAAATATCGCGCGTTGTTTACACCGTTAGGGTACTGAAAAAAAACGGACCGAAAGCTACACAGGCGGTAGCGGGCCTCCACCAATTAGTTAATACGTGGTAAAGATTCTTAAAATCTGTGGGGTTTGAGAAACCTCACCTCACCAGTTACAGGTTAAATATTGAGGGGTGAAAATTCAGAAACACACCTAAAAAAAAATTATCAGCAAGACATTGATAATTCTGAAAAGTGGAAAAGAAATAAATAAGGCATATAACTCAACCAAATCTTGACATATGTAGGTAAAACCAATGAAACAATTAAGTAAGTTTCAAATTAAATTGGTATATATTTTCACAGACAGCTCAAAAATCGAGTATTGAATAATTTCAAAGTATAAAATCAATTGCTGAAAGAACACTTTGAATAAAATCAATAATTAGAGGTTAACTCTCAATCAGTTTCATCAAATTCAAAAAATAAAAGATAATATTACAATGTAACTCAATTTACTTAACATATAAATTCATTAATATTTGCTGGCCATATAATTATCATGAAATGAAAACATAAAGATTTAAGTTTCCAGAAAACTAATTTAAAAAAAAAATTGATTGGAAATTGTACTGATAAATATGGTCAGCTTCTGCTGACTTATAAATTCAATAAAATCAACTTGCACCTGCATGAAATCGAAAGTTGTGTTAACCCTCCGTACACACACTGGGGTCTATCGAACCCCAACAAAGGTTTGAAAGCGTGGCAAATTACGGAACTTTTAGCGATGGTTTCAAGACTACATGTAAATTTAGTTTATGCCCCTCACTACCTAAACCCCATACGCCAGAATCAAGCATCTATACCCCAGTGTGGGGTATAGATGCTTGCGAATAATTTAATGCCAATTTTTCTGTGTTAGTATTTTATTTTACTTTTTTGATAAGAGAATTTATTAGATTTTATTCAAAAATATTCGTTTTCGTTGATAGAAAGTTATTTTTCCACTAAAACATTTTTATTGAATTTTTTGTATAGGTACAATGTAACAGAATATTTATTTGTTTTTTAGTACAAAAATATTAATTTTTTAAGTGTAAGGTTTTGCTTTTTGAACAAATAAACATCTATTAATATCCCAAAACGTGTATATTCTTTTTTGTGTGTTAAGAACCAGCAATAAATGCTTGGGGTATCTTACACCCCAGTGTGTGTTTGGTGTTTTCAAAAAGTATGTGTATGTACGGAGGGTTAAATAACGGTTAAATGGTCAGGAGATATAATAAAAATCCTCAAATATATAAGTTATAGGACTCGGGGTTAAACATTGATCAATTTTTGACAATGTATGTACTTACTCAATCATTTTTAATTTAGTGCATGTTGTCCAACCTTGACTTCTGTTCAGATTACTGATTGATTATCATTGATAAATATAAGTACATTCCTTAAATATGGCGGTACTAAAAGTTGAGTAGAGATAAAATCTACGAAAAATTAAAAATTCGAAATAATTAATGCTAGTTACCAGACTGTCAACATTAAAAGTAATATAAAATTATATTTGAAAGAAAAAAAAACAAGTAATGCAATGGTTACTTGTTAACAGATCGACAACATGTCACATAAATGTCATTCCACATTTTGAAGCAGTAGGCTAGAAAATTCTTCTCAGTCAAGGTTTACACAATTTATTCTCAAGATTCATTTCACCCTTCAACAGCAGAAAAGTTTCCGAGACAAATATCAGTTAAGAAACAATGCTAGACATTTTAACTTAGCACCATAGCATTCGTTTGTGTTTTAAGGGCGACCTAAAGTCGACTGCGTGACAAAGGGCGGTTTGTTCCAAGCGTAGCGCGAAAATCCATAACTGGCGTACAGTTAGTACACTTAATTTAGTTGCCCTTTACCCCACTATCTAAATAGCATCTAGCTCCGCAGCTGAAATAGTGTTTGTAGTTGTACTTCCCGATCTGTCTGTTGATGGAGGTCGGCCTATACCCTATAATGAGTGGCCCTTCCTCCCTTACTTGTTTAGGGTTAATTTTCGATTTCTATTTCTGGCGCGGTAGATGGCTGTTATATGCTAATCCTTAGCCACAATTCCATTAGAGCAACGGTTGTTTTATGGACATTAGTGAGTTATACTTATGGAATTGTATGGGAAAACATGAATAGTAATTATTTTTATTTACGACTAATGTATAATGTGCGTATTATATTTGTGATTTTGGCAGTATAATGACATCTGTTTTTCCTCCAGGGATTAATGACGAGTAGCGGGATTAATGGTCATTATTCCACAAAAGTGTCAGTGTCAAACGTGTAGTGCTTGTGGATTTGTATTGAAAATTATGAGACGGATGAAATTTGTCCATTGAAAATCTCAAATAAATTAATTTGTCGTAAATAAAGTAGAGTATACTACTCGCAATAATGGCTATTATTCCCTCGGAATGTTACTCCCTCGCCGCTAACGCGGCTCAGTTCGTAATAATCCTCGGGAATAATAGCTATATTATTGACTCGTGGTATAATCTACTATTTTCTCCAAACGTCAGAAAAACGTCACTTTGTTCACCCCTGTCAAGATGTAAGAAATTTGATTTCTATGCTGCTAGGCAAATCCAGCGAGTTAACACCTGTCGAGGTGGTAGAATTTAAATTTCTATGCTGCTTGGCAACTCCAGCGGCAGCAAAAGTACTTTTAGTGCCGCTGGAGCGGCTGTAGAAGTACTTTTAATGCCGCTCGTACTTTTACTGCCGTTCAACCATTCACTTGCCCCCGAGCTTACCCCAATCGTTTGGAGGAAAAATAGCGTGTTGCATACGGAGTAGAAGCACTTTTTGGTGCTTCAGCAGTATTGCAAGCCTCACTACGTTCGGCTCGCAAACCTACCGCTTCAGCACAAAAAAGTAAAGCTTCTACTCCTAATACACCAATATACTATTATTATATCGCGAATGGTAAACTATCATTTAATCGATTCAAAACTCGTTGGCAAACTAGCACCTATTTATTTGAAATAGTGAAATCGAACAATTTTCACCCACTCATATGTCAATTTTACCCACTAATGCGTCAATTTTACCCACTCATACGTCAACTTTACCCACTCAATACTTGGTCATATATTTCAAAACTTATTAAAACTGTTGTTAAAACATAATACTTTGCTTATTTCGGTAAATTTACAAAATATTACCTTCACAAAAAGATTGATGTCATTCGAAGCTTCTTTCAAAAAACGAAGAATATCTTCTTGTTCAAATACCTCTATAATAATTATACAGCGTTGGGGACAGAAGTCTGTAGTTGTATCTTATTCACAATCCGTAGTCCAAAGGTAAAGGCAAATTTATCACCTTTCCCTATCAAATAGCATTGAAAGGTGATAAACTTTACCTTTACCTTTGGACATCGGATTGTGAATAGATAATAATATTTTGTATGATTGACAACACCAGAAATGTTCAGTTTGTTACTTTGTCAACTTGTTATAATACATGTAAAATTTTAGTAATTGTAGTAAATAAAAAGTTGCTCAAGAATAAAATAGAACATTAAATACGACGGTAAAAAAGCTTTACCTGTTAGTGAAATTAATCCACTCGCTCCTTCGTCGCTCGTGAATCAACATTTTCCACTCACAGGTAAAGCATCTTTTTACCGTCTTGTATAATAATAGTTATTTATTATACAAGACGGTAAAAAGATGCTTTACCTGTGAGTGGAAAATGTTGATTCACGAGCGACGAAGGAGCGAGTGGATTAATTCCACGAACAGGTAAAGCTTTTTTACCATCGTGTGTAATATTCTATTTTATTCTTGAGCAACTTTATTTATCACAATTAGTAAAATCATAAGCTAAAATGTGCTAAAATTTTACATAGATTATGACAAGTTGACAAAGTACCTAACAAACTGACACATTTCTGGTGTTGTCAATCATACAACATAACAGATTTCTGTCAAAAACACTAAAATTTTTATAAAAGATTTGAACAAGTGGGTAAAATTGACGTAAGAGTGGGTAAAATTGACGTATGAGTGGGTAAAATTGACAAATGAATGGGTAAAAATTGTTCGATTTCACTACTTCAAATAAAGTGTTACTTTAACAACGAGTTTTGAGTCGATTAAATGATACTTTACTATTCACGATAGAATAAATAACTAATTTAGAGATTTAAATATTTATTTCTTAGGTAAAAATAATCTTTCTTTTTCAGGTTTTTAGACAATCCTTCACCGCGCACTATACTATTTATGATGTCAATAGAGAGTAAGTAATTCTCAAACCGTTAGTATTTAGAGTAAGTTTACTTTGTTCAAAGTTTATATCAATCAAATAATTTCTCTGACAAAAAAATATTTTCTCTTAAAATAAAAATATTCTCAAATAGAGATAAAACGATGGATTCTACTTTTTCGTCAACTATTTTCGTTGTATCGCCTTTCTACTCGAACAATATTTTATCCTGTTTCGTATTTTAAGCCTTCCAGATAACAATACTTTTACCCGCACTGCACGCTGACGAAACAACAGAGCTGAAACTTACTCATACTGAAACATATCACTGGCACTGGTATATTTTATTCTTGAAATTTTCAATTCCGTTCGCGTATTTGATAGAAAAGTTTGTATGCTGGATATCTATATCAAAAATATAATCTATAGCGGACATGTGTGTAGGTATATGAAGTAAAACGCACCTGCTCTAGATTCGAGAAAACATGTCTATGGAAAAAACTATTCAATATTCTAGGTATAATAAATTTTTTTCTACTATTTTTATTGAATCGGTTTTTACTTGGTGGAAATCCATTATCTAATAAAAGATTTTTTAAGTAAATTTAAATACTTATACTATATTTCCACTATTTTTTTTGTTAAACTTTTAACATGTTTCGCTAAACTTTAGCTTCATCAGAAAGATTTAAAAAAAATTAAATGTAGACATAAAAGTGAAATTGACAAATATGAAAAAGAAAAAGGTAAAAGCTGGTCTGATTTTATGTTAATTTAAATAATAATAATAATAATAATAATAATAAATTGGTTTATTTCAAATAAATACAATATAAATACAATTTTCAATAGTTACATTTGCTGAAATAAACATTAAGCGCAGAAGCTTTATTTCTGTTGCTTGTTAGCGCTGTTATTTTTTTTTGTCACATCCTGGTAATTGTCACTTTTTGGGGTTTTCAGTCACTTTTTGGGTTTTTTAGTCACTTTCAGGTATATTGTCACATTTCTTGAATTTCTCACAATCTGGGGTCACTTATGGTTTACTTATACTTTATTTTTAAATATAATCCTACTTAACTTATACAAATTTATATTATTTCTTATTCAAACAATTTATGTATTATGTTTCTATTATTCTGTAACATCCATTGCTTAGTTTTATTTCTAAATTTTTTCTCAGTTCTTTAGGCAATACATTATAGAATTTCGGAACTAAAAAATTTATAGACTTATGACCTATTTGTTTACGACTCTTTGGGACCACCACGCAATTTTTCTGAAATCTGGTATTTTTTTCGTGGCTTGCAGATTGAAGAGTAATTTTTTGTTTATTTATAAACATTAACAGATTTAAGAAATAGAGTTAGTTATATTAACCAATTGCCATGCTGATTTATAATCAATTATCTATTTTTTATATGCTTTAATGTGCTTACCCCTTTCCTCTAGGACTTTTTAAATACATTGTTGTAAAGTAAACATCAAATTGCTATGTCGGCATTAATTGATTATTTAAGCCGATGTGGTACTGCAAGGAACGTTCTTTTGTTTTCTGGCTTTAGCCTGTAGCAATTTGATCCGAATATTTTCTTTTGTCACCTCTGTATTTTAATCAATAAAATAAATGTTTTTTAAAATACAAGTTTCTGAATCGAAAATATAATTGGCGCAGTCGTTCGGATGCTCAGAGTGCTTAAGTTTCGGGAGTTGTAACAGTCGTAATCCATCGCGAAAATTTCAAAAGACTGAAGAAAGTTCGAAAAAGTGAATTCTTCGGAAAAGTGAAATTTGGATTATCAGTGCTGCTATTAAACGTTCCAGATACTGTCCACTTCGAATTGGTTAACTGAGTATAAGGAATAACAAGAAACAACGTGTGAAGAAAGACTACTGTTATTAGCTTTGCCTAGTAAGTAGGTACAACCTTTCTCTTTATACATTTTGTAATTGGTGTTCCATAGTTAAGATTTTTGGATTTTTGATCTTTTGTAATTTCTAATTTTTGATTTACTGAGAAGACTTAAATTCAGATTTTTGTTCTTTTGCAATTCCAAAAAGGTTTGCTGAAAAGACTAAAATCAAAAATAAAGAGTAACAACGAATTTACAAACCCAAAGTAACAAATAGTTTTTAGAAAAAGCAACGCACATGACTGATTAATTAATTATAATTTTAATTTTAATAAAACTTTTTAATTTTGAATTTTTAAAAAATTTCAAAATAATTTCTTTTAACAATTCAAAGAAATATATATGTCAGATTCTGAAGAAGAAATCGAGAATCTTTTGACTCAATTTAATTTAACTCATCTTTACAATCCTAATTCAAGAAGTAACAACCAAAATCAAAGATCAACCGTAACAATGAGTGAAAATTTAAAATCAATTGTACAACTTATCAAACCTTTCAGTGGCGAAAGCCAATATTTAGAATATTTCATAAGAAACATCAATGAATTTTATCAAACTTACTATACTGGTGAAAATACTCAAAAAGAGTATGTGGTTACCGCCATAAAATCAAAATTAATAAATGATGCAGGAAATTTTCTTATGGCACGTGCTGATTTACAAACATGGACCGATATAGGAGAAGCGTTGAGAATTAAGTATGGTGATCAATATTCTAGACAGAATTTGGTACAAGAGCTTATGTATACCACAAAAACTAATAAAGAAACTATTATTGAGTATTTGGATAAACTAAAAGGTTTAGTTCAAAGAATTACATCTAAAATCATGTGCGACCCAAATTTGACGGTAGTTGCAAATGTTTTAATTGAACAAAATGAAATTATTGCTATTCAAAATCAAGTCACTAATTCGCCAACCGAATTAAGAACAATTTTAAAGGTTCAAAATCCACAAACGTTGGATGCAGCTAACAAATTTGTGTTAAATTATCAACTAGCTGAAAACCACATGAAATTTAGTAGAGGACTTACTCATTCTACTAATCAAAATCAAAATCAAAATCAAAATTTTTCAAATTTCAAAAATAAAAATACGCAATTTCGTTCACAACAATCACAACAAACCTATACTCAACAAAAACCTCAATATACACAAAAAACATCGTATGTACCACAGAAACCACAGTTTCCATCCCAACCTATTAATATACAACCTAAAAAGGACTATGTACCAACAAAATTTCCTACTAGTTCAGGAACTTTTGGCAAAAATTACAATAATGCCTTTCGAAAAAACACTAATCAACAATTTTCGAAACCGACACCGATGTCCGGTGTTTCAGTGCAACCAAGAGCACAAAATCAACATCAATACCCTTCTAAATATACAATCGAAGAAATTAATAATATCTTTGAAATCGAATTGCCTGAACCTGACGAAAATTTCGAAAATGACGAATGTTCTGAAAATCAAAACTACCAAGTTCTAAACTAGTCAGATGGCGACTAAAACTATCTGAATTTGATTATGAGATCAAATACAAAAAAGGAACATTAAACATGAATGCAGACGCACTATCAAGAATTCCTGCAATACAACTTCATGCCATTCAAAAATCAGATCCTGATGCCAGATTAACATCTTCAGATGAAGAATTTCATAAAAAATTAGGATTAATGCTGAAAGATACACCATTATGTAATGACGAAATCATAGCAAAATACTTTACAGATTCTAAAGTATATCTTCCTAAACAAAGCGAGATAGCTAAAGAAAAAGAGATAAGAATGTCTGAATCATCTCAATCAACAAAGACAGCATCAGAAAAAGAACCTGAAGAAGAACCTAAGAAAGTAAAACCCAAAATAAAGATATTATCATAACTAATAATACCTCCAAGAAAAGAGAAAACAGAAATTCCCATAAAAATAGGAGAATCTTCGAAAACTCAAAAAAGTAATAGACAAATAACACCAACTAATCGTTCTTCAACAATTTCAGCCTTGTCTGAAAATGACCAAACAATACATACGTCTATGGAAAATCCAATATTAGGAGCTCCATATACTAAGAAACATGTAAATGTATTTGGAAATCAAATTGTATTTCGATATTCCAATAATAACACAATTAGAAAAGAGATAATCAAACTATTTGGTAATAAAAAGAGAATAATATTCTTCTTACCAAATAATCCAACATCACAAATTACTAATTTAGTAAAGGAATACATACCACCTGGTATTTATTGCCTTCATTTCCTAAATAAATCTTTAGAACCTATTGTGATACGAGCATTACAAGAATCGTTTAATTCGAATTCATTTACTTTGTACATCTCGAACTCTCTATTAGAAGACATCACAGAAGTTGATCTTCAACAAGAGAAAATTCAGCAATATCATGAGACTAAAACCTCTCATAGAGGAATGACTGAAAATATTGCAGCCTTAAAGAAAAGATTCTATTGGCCCAATATCGAGAAAGACGTACAGAATTATGTCAAAGTATGCGAGATATGCAATAAAACCAAGTATGAACGTCAACCATACAAAATCATATTCAAACCAACACCTATTGGTATGAAACCTTTTGAACATATTTATATTGACACGTATATAATCAATAACCAGAAATTTCTGACCATTATTGATAGCTTTTCAAAATTTGGTCAAGCCTCTCCTGTAAATACAAAAACAGCTGTTGAGATATCATCACAGTTATTGAAATATTTTAGTGATCATGGAATACCTCAAAAAATCAGATAATGGAGCAGAGTTCAAAAATGCTATAATGATAGATCTTTGTACACAACTCCAAGAAGCCCGAACTCGAATAGTCCAATCGAACGATTCCATTCGACACTACGTGAAAGTATAACGAGTTTAAAACTCCAAAACCCGAATAAGAGTATTATTGATCTAATGACAATCGCTATATTATAACAACAGTACTCATAGTACAATGAATCACACCCCTTTTCAAGTGATTAAAGGAGATTTGAATTATGCCATACCGATTGAACAAACGGAAAATAAACTAACAACTGACTATATAACAAGTTTGGCAGAATCCCTTGCAAATTTGAATAAAGAAATTCAAGAAAAGTTATTAGCG